ATTGAACATCTATCATCCTTATCTCTCCTCCTTCTCCTCCTTTTAAAAAAAAATGTTATTCTCTTGTAAAATCTCTCATCTTCTCCATCAGTGGTGTAATGGTTAGTCTGTTCGCTGTCATGAATTATAATGCGTGGGTGGTTGGCGGGTGCTCTGGTGTGGTTTGCTCCTTCTTTCCTCTCAAACATCTATCATCTTTATCTCCCCTCCTTCTTTTTTGTGTTTGTTACTCCCTTGTAACACCTCTAATCTTCGGCTCTTATATGACCTTATTGTGTTGAAAGTGCCGTAAATCTCTTACTAAAACTAAAAGACTGTCAAAGCAGCCCGCCTCCTAAATGATGTCAACGACAAGGGAAAAAAACAAAGATGAAGTCAAGATACACCCCTTTTACATGTATGTATATAAGTACAATGAATACATAAATATTTACAATTTTAAAAATCCAGTTTCAGTACTATATAGGAATCCATTCTAAGAATATCAAAGACGTTCATAACAGTATGTGACACAACTTTTTGAATATTTAATAATTTTGATCAAACTCGTCACATATGAACCTAAAACGCCACCGCTTCTTCACTTTAATTTAAGAGCTTTGCAATTAATTTGATCGTTGCCAACGAGGAAGCTAAATAGAAGAGGTGTGCCTGTCTGGTGTGTGTCCGTTTGAGGAAGGTTTATTCAGATAAGAAGAGGGGGCTCCATCCACTTTGGGTTTTTTCTTAAATGTTATGATACTTCAGCGCACACTTGACTGCGAGACTGCCTAAGAGCGAGAATGCGTTGTGTGGAGAGAGAGAGAGAGAGAGAAAGAGAGAGAGAGAGAGAGAGAGAGAGAGAAATAAAGAGAGAAAGAAAGAGAAAGAGAGAGAGTGTGTGTGTGTGTGTGTGTGTGTGTGTCTAAAACATAAAACTCTGAGAGAGAGAGAGAGAGAGAGAGAAAGAAAGAGAGAAAGAAAAGAAATTGTGTGTGTGTGTGTGTGTGTGTGTGTGTGTGTGTGTGTGTGTGTGTGTGTGTGTGTGTGTGTGTGTGTGTGTGTGTGTGTGTGTGTGTGTGTGTGTGGAGGAGCTGGAGGAGGGGGAGGGGGGTAATTATCATTATCTTTAACCAATAAAAACGAAAGTGCACCCCAAGTGAACGCGCGCATATAGCGGTGTGCAAATTTTCTAGGGAAAAAAACAAAGAGGTTATGCTATTTCTATGTATAACCTATTTGGGAAAGAACACACCACGGGGAAGGCGACCTACAGAAAAACAGACTCGTGCTGGGTCGTGGATGTCGAGCTACAACTTGTTGTCGTGAGCTGAACGTGGTATATTAAGCCTGGTGCACACAGTCTGACAAATCGTTCGATGGCTCGACCTTTGGTCTGACTGAATGAATGTATTGTTACTCCCTCAGAGTACCAATGGTTGTTTTGTTTTAGTAGAGGTTTTACGGTGCTCGCAACTGCATACGGTCATATGAGCGCCAGAAATTAGAGGTGTTACAAGAAAGTAACATACACAAAAAAGAAGGAGGGGAGATAAAGATAAAGACGATAGATGTTTGATAGGAAAGAAGAAGCAAACCACACCAGAACACCTGCCAACCACCCACACGAATGGTTGGCAGGAAATCAGGTCTGCTTTATTGTAAGGGTTCCGTCTGTTTGTTTGTTTGTTTGTGTGTTTGTTCATTTAGTGCTGGGAAAAGGTAAGACAGACAGACGGAAAAAAACAGAGGGAAAGTAAAGAAGTAGGACCTACCATGAGTGACACCCTCCAACCACCCGCTAGGGATTCCATAAAACTCTTACTTAACCCTATCCGTACGCCCTGGGGTCATTTTGTACCCCCGGGGTTGTATTCTCACAATTTAAGAATAGGCTACTTCTAGTGCGTAGATCTCTTTGAAACTTTCAGTATTTCTCAAAAAATCGTTTTGACAGACTGCTTTGCAAATCGTGCGGATCGGATTAACGGGGAAATTTCATCTTTGGAAAGTGGTGGCACAGAGTTCCCTACGTCGTATGGATACGATAGTAAAACACGACGTACGGATAGGGTTAAGTGGTGGCACAGAGTTCCCCACGTCGTATGGACACGGTAGTAAAACACGACGTACGGAGAGGGTTAAATTGTGGCACAGAGTTCCCCACGTCGTATGGATACGGTAGTAAAACACGACGTACGGATAGGGTTAAACCATAAACTCACCCACAGTACGCTTCCCAAGAATAACAAAGTTCTATCTGCTCCGTACCTAGTTTTGGAAAATTTGACGTCAAACATTTGACATTATCATCATGTCAAACTGTTTCAAATGCAATTCTTTGAATAATATCTTGATAGCGACTCCGAACAATCTTACGATTTTGGTTGAGCAGTTAGAACATGGTTTCTGACCTCATGGTCTCAGTGACTCAAAACGGCCAAAAATGTCAGATACAATTTAGTAGTAGAGGTGGCGTCGGTGGCCTAGTGGTTAGGCTACCGGACTCGTAATCGTGAGATTGCGGGTTCGGGGGTTCGAGCCTCAGCTCAGTCCGAGGTTGTGTCCCTGAGAAAGACACTTTACACGGATTTCCCACTTGGCTCGGTCCTTTCGGAGATGGACGTTAAACTCAGAGTCGGAAGTCCCGCCTCTTAAATTACCTTATGCGTTAAACCTGTACCGTTTAACCCTTTTTTCCAACTTTGTAGTGGGTGGTTGGCTGGTGCTCTGATGTGGTTTGCTCCTTCTTTCCTATAAAAAAAAATATATCGTCCTTGTCTCCCCCTCCTTCTTTTTTGTGTTTGTTACTCTCTTGTAACACCTCTAATCTTCGGCACTTATATGACCTTATTGTGTTGTAAGTGCCGTAAAACTCTTACTAAAACTAAAACAACTTTGTAATAATTCTATAAGACAGTAAGTTGCCGATACAGTACAGTGGAGCCGACAGTACAGCGTACTGTCCTCAGAGAAATTCGCGCCCGCAACCCGCAAGTGAATTCGCGAATTTCAACCCTTTCCCCAGGAAAATAATAATAAAATTTCTATAAAAACACCGAAATTTTCTTCCACAACTAAAAATAACAACGCCAAGTGGGACAATTGGCCCCTTTGCACTATGGGGTGCCCGCCGCCGCCCAGTGACCCGGACCGGGTCAGGTCGGGTCGGGATGATCGCCCGACTCGTCGCCTGAAAAAAACTTGTTTGTTTTGAAACAACGAGTGGGGCGTGATCGACTTGTGCCACGATGGCCGCTTTGCACCATCAATCTGGCGAGCAAACCGACCCGACCCAACCCCCCAATAGTCTTGTTTGAACTGAATCATCTCCTAGTCTAACTAGATCTAGATCTAGATCTTGATCTAGGGTAAAATCGTAAACACGGTCGTCTGATTTCTTAGCTTGCTTGGTTCCGTAGCACCAGGTAGATACATCTAGATCTAGAATAAACATTTGTGAAAGACTGTAAATCTTAAGCTAGGAGGAGGCTAGATCTAGACAAGGATCGATTCCTCCGGAAAACCCCTAAAGGGGACGTTCAAATAAATATAATAATCTTGCGCCTGGAAAAAAAGGAGTGTGGG